TAGCAGCTTGTCCCCAGGCAACCCGTCCGTATGATAAACAAGCGGATATCAGAGAGCGATAGAAATTTAAGGGGTTATACAATGGGAGATGTGCCTCAGACGTGCAATAATTGCTACTGTTTTACTTACTTTCGAGGAAACATAGTCAATATGGTATTTCCACGAAAGGTATGGGTGTTGTTATCAAAAATCTGAATGTTAATTTGATACTATTACACCAGATCGCAAGTAGACTTAAGAATATTTCAAGTCAGGTTTTTTTCTTATTTAAGAACTCTTAACACTTCACACCCGTTGTAGACGTAAACAAAAAACCGATCGCGGTAGTTGTTCTGTTGGGAATGGAGAATAGAAAGGTTTTAACAGTAATTTTGGTCTATTTTGTTTTATAATTTTATCGAGTCCGATGAATAAAAATGTTGCAAGCAGAGAGCCTTCATTCGCTTCCGAGCTCAAAAGCTAATCTCCTCGAGAAAAGGGAAAAAAAAGATAAATAATAAAACTATGAGTAATCCGAGCTTAGAAGAGTGCGTTCGATATTTCTTACAGATAGAAGTTGAGGAGGAAGGGTGGATGGTTATTGCGATAGATTAAGCCCGGTTTCCATATGATCGCTACGATCGCTGTGATCGCTGTGATCGCTGAGAAAAAAGAGTTCAGCGATCATATGGAAACCACTCTCCAGCGATCGCAGCGACCGGCAACGATAGACCTTTTTATATCTCAGCGATTGTTGTCGCTAAGATCGCTGGAGAGTTGTTTCATATGATCGCTATGATCTCTGCGATCGCTGAAGTTTTTTAGCGATCACTGCGATGGTAGCGATCATATGGTAACCGGGCTTTTATTTGATCATGGCATATTTTAAACGCAAGGATTGCTTACAGCGAAACCTCTATTTAAACTGTGTATCATTATGAAAAAGACTTGAAGGCTAGTGATATCGTATGGTCCGTCTCAATAAGTGCAGTAGCTTGGTCAAGTGTCTTGATTTCAGTGACTTGAGTGGAGCTACTCTGGGCTGTTTATAAGTTTTCCGAATAAATAACATAGACCTAAAATGTTCGTGTGTTCGGTGCCGAAAATATCACAAGTCATGGTGAAACGACGCCGCCGAGCTTCACATCTCGGTAGATTTACTTTGTGGCACGACGACCGCCGAGCTACACAACTCTGTAGATTTACTTTGTGGCACAACGGACGCCGAAACTTTTGAAAGATGAACGTTTTGAAAGATTCAGCAAACACAGATCGATAGCAGACCTTCAGCAGAACTCTTGAATTGTGTACCCTTTACGAAGATTCTGCAAACTTTCAAAATATGAACGCTTTACGAAGACAGAATAAAAGACCTCAGCAAACTCTTGAATGATGAACGCCGAGGACGCACGAATCACCACGTGAGTTAGTTCGTCAAAGTGAGGCAAAACGCAAGCAAGCGCCTCAAAGTGAGGCAAATGTGTGTCGACGACGACAAATGCGATCTCGAAAAAACTTCTCGTATTAATTGCACAGGGGACCCAATAATGCACATAACACCCAAGACAAATTAGGGGTTTGTTCGAGGTACGAGAACGCAATAACATTACTATAACATAATAATAAAATAACATTACTAATTACCAGTTATTATCTAGTGTTATGTGCTATTTCATTAATGCTAAGTGCTATGAAAGGAGATGGTTCGTATTAGACGTTTAAAACCAGCCAAATTGTTGTAATGTTTTCAGGTAGAGTTTTCAGGTAGAGAGTTTCAAGTTTTCTAGGCAAAATACTTGAAAGAGTGATTATCACTTCCTCTAAGAGAGTAGACCGTTGAGTGCAAAGTTAATAAGTCCTTAAGAAACGCAGGGTAGAAATTGATATGCATATTTTTACGAATCTTGAACAAGTAAAGATGAATTAAGAATTAAGCCTAAGGAAACCGCAAATCAGCTAAGTCGGTCATAAGGATCGTTTTCAAGTCACTTAAAACTTTCTTGAATCGTTTCAACTGCTGCTTGCATGGACAAACACTTTTGGTTTTAAGTAAAACTTTATTAGCAGTTCTTGAGTGTTATTTAACAGCGTCAAACTAAAAGACTCTCAACATGTCAAAGAAATCAGTCCTACAAAAGCAATTTGTAGTTTATGGCGCTGATTCAGTACTTGGGCATTTCGTGCATTGCATTTCAAGTCATTTCGTTGATGTGACACTTTTTTTGGTGGTGTTTGATTGCCAAAACAAACTGGCGCCTTCGTCAAAGAGATGTGAGGAGAGCCACTAGAGACCTTGAGATACACCGTTTCCGTGTACGGGTACGGGTAGATTAGCCGTTCACGTAGACGTAAGTACGGGTGGATTGCCTCTTACGCGGGAGAAACGGGTAGGCTACCGGTTAGAATGGTTTCGCCATTATCACATCTGGGAAATAATGGTTGCCTTTTATAAAACTACGAAGTAAACATGTTCGCTTACCTGTACACGTAGGTTGAAACGGTGTATCTTAAGGTCACTATTAATTCGGAGTTTGGCACCCGCTCTGTACCGTTGTCGATCGCTCGAGAAGGCAGACATTTTCTTGAAGAGTTCTCTCTCCCTGACTCAACAATTAGCAAAAGAATAGCGTTGTACAAATAAGAGCGATGTCGTAATATTTATTTATTTATTTTTTTACCCTCTTTCCAGCTTTTTCACTTGCTTTTTTTAGTTTTACATTTTATTGAGACTGCAAAGTTAATGAACAGCGGATTTATACTTCCTGGTTACATATGTTTTAGTATGGTTTCCAAAACAGTGCAGAAAGAGAGGAAATGGTCAAACCTTTTAGTGATTTCTGATGCAATTTTGGACCAAATCACTCAATGGCGGTCAAAAGTAAAAAGGCGAAATATTTTACTATCAAACCTTCAAAACTTTCCCAGGTTTTTAATCGATTTACGGAATATTCCGAACCGAATTTGGAGCAATGATTTATCACGAAGCTAAGGAGATCAGGAAAAAATGTCTTGACGCAAGATTTGTAAACGAAAATCTGATTGGGGTTTTCGGTAAGCAATATTTTCCGAAATTGGAGTGCGCATCGAACATTAAGCGACTGTTTTAGGTAAATTTTGAATCGCGATTTGTCCGAAGTTATATTTTATAAACCACCTTAAAGGTCATGAGAGCATCGACTCAGTGATTGTTCGGTTTATAAGATCAAGGGAAGTATGATGATAAGTCTATTTGAAAGTATGAATTTTATCCAATACAATCCTTTGTAACCTTGGGCCGCCATTTTTAAAGTTCAATGTCGAGGAACCCGAATTTAAGTAAGTAAAACCTCTTTGGTGGACTAGCTCGGGCAACATAGAAAACTTTTTTCCCAGTGGGCGCACTTTAGCCAAACCGCCGCTGAAGCTATGTAAGGTTCCAATGATTTGCCTCCTGTCAATCACGTGTATGCCTGACTTAATTAGAGACTTAGGCATGTTCAATTGACCGTATTCCGGAATAATAATAAATGGAAGAAACTCTAGAAACCACTTCAGTTTGGCATTCATTGCATTGTAATATCTGGAGATCTTGAAATAATACAATATTCCGATATATCTGGCGTTTAAGTGTTCCAACAATCACTGTAGAAGAGATTTGTAACACAATTAGACTACGAGCAGTCTCCCTTTTTTCTTGGTCCGTCGAGCAAAACGCCCGAGACACGCAAATGACCACGCGCGTGACTGAAGGCACGAGACGGGAGAGGCGGCTTCGCCGCACAACGCTCGCGCGCGCGTGCACTCCCCTTACTAAATCTGAAGAAAAAGAGAGACTGCTCGCAGTCTATAACACAATCTTTGCTAGCCTACTTGAAGACGTCTCCTACTTCTTTTGTTACACACGGAATATATGAGATGAATATGAGGAAATATGAGAAATTAAAAATGAGACGTCTGCCCCCAGGCTAAACCTTTGCCTATTCTTGTTACGGAATACGATAAATCGAACGCATCATAATTGTGTACATCCACACCAAAAAAAGTTCTTCCTTTTGTTTATGTCCAGCCAGCTGAGTCATTTTCTAGGAGAAGGAAGCCGTACATAGATTTGGCCTGCTCTTATAGGTGAGTAGAGTTTCCCCAGAGCTGCTGTTAGTTACACCGAAGTTGTTTCCTACATTACAACATGTCAGAGGAGATGACAATGCTTGAAGCATATATCACTGGAACGTTTCCATCAGAGAATAATGGAACAGGCCATGAGGTTAGTTGTTCTTTACTTTATGTGTTTTCGCAAAACACAGCATTGACTTGATAAGTGAGTGGTGTAACAAGATCTGAGTTCTACTCTAGTATAATTAACATACCTAATCTTAGCGTGAGCAAGTGGGAATTTTCTTTCTGTATGTATATATAATAAAAACCATGCAAAAAATAAACGACTGCACTAAAATACCAACTTTTGACCCCACTAAACAACAGCAGCAGACAAAATGTAAGGGCAAATAAGTTTATTTTGAGACGGCTTTGCGAGAACTAACCCTGCAGAGTACGTATGGAAATACAGCAATAGGTAAGTAACTAATGTACAACACGCGTAAACTATCTTTCACAAAAAGAAAGAACTGCTATAACTGGTTGATCTCAACCTGAATCCCCAATTAAGCACGTGGGCTTAGTGCCAGTTAGGTCGCCAGTTAGGGAGGGGAAACTAAAGAAACTAAATTAAACTTTAAACAATGGAGAACTGGAACAGGGAATGCTAAGTGCCGGGAAAACTGGGAATTATTTTCACTAAGGTACCCAACAAGGCACGTAGGCGGGTTTGTAGTTAGGCTGCTAGAAAAGGATTGGGCAGGACATTTAGGGTAAACAAATGGCTAACGCGCACGACCCTGGCTAAGTAGACGAGCAGGTGCAAAACTGTGATAACCATGAAAGTACATAAGATACGAAACGGGAAAAAAAGCTGAAAACTAGCAGAGCTGAGCCACCGCTTACAACTGAAATAAATGCGGTCAGACGGAGGCCAGAAAAAACCTGCCTAAAAGGACCCCGAAGCGAAAAATGCGGGTAGGAAATCTGGGTAGGAACCAAGGCTCAAGCTCAAAGTCCTTCCTACGGGACGTTACAGTGTAATGGAGAATAGGCTGCTCCTAAAATAAAACAAAATATTATGAAAAACCAAAGAGAGGTTGGTTCAGAAGCTTAGATGACGTATTCGTGATATACACAGCCTTATATACCCCCGGTATGGCTACCATTGGTGCCCCGACCTAGTACCCAGGCCCCGTTGTATCTCGTGCCGTCAAAATATTTATTTCTTCCTTCTTCGCGGGCTCATTCGTCAGAAATAACATATTCATTAAGCTAATCAAGCCATGTGGAGAGCAAGCTATCGTGAGAGAACAACAACACCAAAAGCTTTATTTGCATGACCATAAAGGAATTACAGTATTGCAAAAGCTTTTATTACAGCTATTATTAATGAAGCTATTATTAGTATTACAGTATTGCAAAAGATATTAACTATTAGACAGACTTAAAGCAAGGGGCACACATACACTAACCCACAGCCTGGCCAGTACCTGACGCATGTGCACAGCCATATCACCCCTGGCCAAGCCGTGGGTTGGTGTACGTGTGCCCCTTGCTTTAAGTTTATCTTAAGGAATTCTGAGTTCGTAAAAAACCCTATGGTGGACATCACATGAATTGAAATAAATGAAATGAGTCATTTTTTGAATTGCGGATAAAGATAATAGAGTGTACACGATGTTCGCAGTAGAATAAACAACCTAAGCGCTATTTTCGCCAAATTCGCCATTTTTGTCAAAATCACCATTTTGCTATCTCATTTGAATTTTGGCTAAGACTTTCCCGAATGTTCGCCATTTTGGACAAAATCGCCACTCACAGTACATTCGCCAAACTTTGGCGAATTTTTCCAATTTTTGTCATTTTCGCCGAAGCGTGCATTTCTGGACCTATCTCATATAGCAACACCTATAGATGCCCTTTCCAGTTAAAGTTTTTCACCCTCGTCTACAATGCCAATCCTTTTACTGTATATTTTTGTATTGTTTTAATCTCCTCATCAATGTCATTAATTATTTCCTTGTTTCTTCTTTTAGCAGCTATTGTTTATGATAAACGAGCTTTTTTGGAACCTAATTCCTGGTTTATTTTACCAGGTTTATTTTAAATTTCATTCACATAATCTGGGTGTTTGAAGGTTGGCAGTAAAACATCACCTAATAATGCCTGCCTTCTAAAAATGTCAAATCTTCTTGGTGCTTTACCGCTTGGACCCGATAATAATATTTTTTCAGTATCCCTTCTGCTTCCACCAGAGCAGTTCTAAGCACTTCTTTAGCAATGATCCTGTGTTGCAGAACAGACTTCGAGGTTTTCTTTGTACACTGCACTAACCTCTCCCAGGAGCCACCGAAGTGGGGTGCACTTGGCGGTTTGAAATTCCACTCAATCTCTTTTGGTGCACAAAAGTTTTGTATTTTCTTTTTATTCAGCTGCTTAAAGCATTTCTGCAGCTCAATATTGTCCCCTAAAAGGTTAGTTCCATTATTACTGCATATTCTTTATGGCCCCCCACGTCGCACAATGAGCCTTATCAATACCATAATGAAATGATCCGTTGAAAGATCGTCCACCAGTTCAAGATGGAAAGCTCTTGCAGCTGGAAACATATAAACAAAAAGGCGTACACCTTAATCCCACCACGTCTCTTCTTAATCAAAAATCAACTGCAGACTGTCTTTGAACACCATTTCAGGTTCAAGCCTACGCTCAGGTAAGTTTCCTATTTGCCGCTCCTGGGGTTTTACTGTCTGACGATAGAAGTAATTGCACTTTAACTTTACGCCTCTCACAGCCTGACGGCAATGGATAATCCAATACTCCTGTCTAATTTGAATCAGTATATGATGGACGGTGGTAAGTACGATGCATGTCCTGCCCAAGCTCATGATGTGAGTCAATTATCTTCGGGTGTCGTGTCTTGTATGGGAGGGCTTGCGCCTTTAGCAACCTTCCACCGACTACCATAAGTCAACTTTCTATTCACGGATCAAAAGATTTGATCCTGCTTCGCTTATGAACTAGCTGACCATTTTCCAGGTACTTTATCTCTTCGCCAATTGACTCTACTTGCGCCCTCTTCACTAGCTGGTTCTGTGCAGTTCTCAGCTACGTGGCTTTGCTAATCGCATTGCGTACTCCAGTACCCTTCTCAGCTTAGCTAGGGACGAATATCTTTTCCATCCCAACAAAGGCTCAGTTTCCTGGGAAATTCAGACCCACCTTAGGCTTTTCCTTTCTCTTTTTGCGTATTCCAGTGGTGCTTCAACTTTGTTTTCTGTCCAGCACTCGGCCGCTCTGTATAGGAACTCTGGGCCAGGGCTGTAACGATTCTTCACCTTTAGTTCTGCAGGGTGGAGTCCTTGGGTGATATCATCCGCAGGATTATCACCCTCCGGCGTGCATCTCCATGTGTCCGCCTCTGGTGCAGTCTCCATGGTTACTCATGATCGTGTAAATCTCGGATATTCGATTAGTCGGGTAACACTGAAAAGATGCGTGTTTTATTCATTATTCATGCGGTATTTCCTAGCTGTCAATCACGAGCACCTGTGAAAACAGGAAGCGCAGGAACATTTGTTTTATTTCTTTGATTTAAGATCATTCCACAAAAGTCACAAATTGTATATCCAAATGATTTCAATGCGTACTGATCAACTTTTGTACAATTAATATCTATATACATTATTAAGGTAATATGCCTGGACAAGGCATATTAATGAGCATTTCTCAACTACTGGCGAAAAACTGGCCAACGAATTGCCGAATACCAACTTGACTTAAAGTAACGTTCATGTTTCCTTCGTCGCGCTTTATGTTGTGAGCATAAATGCATCGTATGAGAGTATTGTTAGCTTGATGGCTAAGTTGAGAGCCGATAAAGCCTCTGTACCCGACAGTGTTGCCTCAAAGCTTTTAAAGTTTACTCGTGACTCCATTATCCCATCCTTGTTGTCTGTTTTAGCGCCACCTGCAACACCGTACCGGCTACATGGAAGGCCGCAAATATTTCAGCTCCCTACTATAAGCGACAATGAAACTGATTTGCATAAGTCAACTATAACCACCCATGTCACTGGACAGGGACTTGGAAACCCTCACCACTGGGCGTATTAAAAAAGTCATTCGACCAAGCTGTTGTTACTGGAGACCAGCAGGTTGTTGTAGGCGTGTTTATAAGGCGTTTGACGCGATTCCCACTTCATTCTGCTCCGAAAACTTCAGAGTCTTGGTGTGGCTGGGGACTTATGGTGTTGGATCAGGGATTATCTCTCTAACAGAACGCAAGTGACAGCGATTAATGGGTGTCAATCTCAAGCTATACCAGTTACTTTTGGTGTACCACAGGGGTCTCTGCTGGGCCCCATCCTGTTTTCCCTCTTTTGTAATGACCTGCTCTATATCACTGAGGGAATAGATGGTGATCAACAGCTTCACATGTACGCAGACGATACCACCATTTATGTCTCGGCTCCGACTTATGATCTGGTGGCTTCCAAGTTAAATGAAGACCTAGCAAGTGTATATACATAGTGTTGTGAGAACTGTCTCACTCCCCATCCTACCAAGAAGGAGTATATGCTGCTCAGTAGACATGGCTGGCAATTGACTGAACCAAAATAAGCTATTAAGATGGGTGATTAAGTTATCGAGGAGGTTGTTTCTACAAGATGCTCAGGTGTCCAGATACACAATGCTCTTAAATGGGATCATCATGTATCGGAACTAGCGAAATCGTTTACGTAGAAGTTGAACTTACTGAAATCAACTTCCTGCCTAGACAGGCGAGAACTGATTTCTATTTTGGTGTTATTTTGCCGTCCGTTACGTATGGTATGTTAGTTTGGGGCTCTTGTGGTCAAGTACTTTTCTCAAATCTGGAATCTACACATGAAAGAGCGGCAAAAATAATATATAACCTAGATTGGTATACGCCAGGCAAGGTGGTTCTTACCACTGCTAAATGGAATAACTTTAGTTAGTGATTATGTATGAGAAACGAGTTTTTAATATTTTTAGCACATCAGGCTTATTATCATCTTTTACCATGTCCTCTGAACTGTCTTTTTGAAAAGTATGTAAGTAGCTACGATCTCTAGAGGAACATGACCTTTAAGTTACCCAGGCCTAAGACTGATATGGTTAAGAAATCATGCTCATACAAGTCAATTATTCGGTGGAATGTCCTAGAAAACCAAATGAGACCAATTCATGACATTGACGCTTTTAAAAAGTCAGTCAAGTGTATTTTTAAGCCACATATATTATAATGATGTACTGTGTAGAATTATTATTGTTATATATACGTAGAATTCTTATAATAGTCTTATTGTGATTAGTTAGGAAGTTTAATTTTATTGTTATGCATACGACCACATCAGCTTTGCTGAATTTTTTAATCTTGTTTAAATAAATGCTATTATTATTATTATCTCTTTTATCACAGTCTTTGCCGGTGTTCTTTTTGTGCATCAGCCGGGCGCAAACCATGCACCTAGAGCGTCAGTCACTCAAGTCAATCATTCTGTTCATACACTGAGCACCTTTCTGAGGATTCGCGCAGATCCCTGCATGCAGATCTTTTGAATTCTCTGTCATAGTAGCTCTCTCAGATACTTTCTTGATGTTTTCTACCATACCCTTCTTCACTGTACCAAAGGCACCAACAACCACAGGGATCACTACGGTTTTCATATGCCACATTCTCTGTACTTCTAGTTCTAGGTCTTTGTACTTGCTTTTTTTTTTCAGTTTCCTTCGGTGCGATGTTTCTATCTGATGGAACAGTCATATCAATTAGTTTGAATTTAGTTTGGAATTCACTGAATCTTTATTATTATTATTATTATTATTATTAAATGCTTTTACCCGGTTTTTGAATCTGCAACTCCTTGAGTTCACGGGTTTTCAATCCTAAGGTCAAGGTGACGTGGTTGTCGCGTGATAACCAAGGCCAAGGACAAAGGAAATGAGTCAAATAAATGAAAACAGTCAACACTTGTTGGTTTAAAACTCTACGTGCCACACAGCCTGATTCTGGTAAGCATTAGTGGTCTCCAACTGGAATGGTAGGAACACAAGACTTTCTAATTAAATGTTTAAAATTTCATTTCTTCTATCAGGCATATGAGATCACAGTTCTGTACTCTGACGGGAGCAAAATGGCGCTTCGAAAAACATATTAAGAGTTTATTGAATTGCAGGTGCGTTTCTTGAGATATGAATTGATAAATATTTTTTCAAAATGATAATTGTATATCACGATTGTTGGTCATTGTCGGTGAACAGCTGATGTAGAGTCTTGTAGTTGTGTTTTTCGAATTTGATTTTCGAAGTACGGAGCTAGCGATTTTTCATTTTAGTTATGGTACCGGTGAGATTCTCCCAAATATTCTGAACGTTTTTTTTTGCATTTTGTGCTGATATTACAACTTTTCACCTCGAATAAATCCAGCGCAGACAATCATGGCGAACAACTGAGCTGAATGTATTTGGCGTGTAAAAACACTCGAAACGGCTCCAAGGCCTGCTGTCCTCTGATTGGGCAGAAAAACAAGCGCCAATCAGAAGCCAGGACGGCTGCGACCGTTTGGAACTGGTCTGGTATGACAATGTCCCCAGGGGCTCTACAACCCTTACTTGAAATCTTTCGTCGCACCTTTTCTCCCAAACCAACTGACTAGTACCCCTGGGTCTCCGCGGATGGGATATATTTAACCAGACCAATGATCTCGGTGTGGTAGCGAGTTATCGAATACTATACTGACCGTCATTGTCTACTGATCTGTAAAATACTCTATGGTTATTGCAGGTCCTCTCACTAAATTAAATACAAATTACAAGTTATTAGCGCTATCAAAATAGTGAACATAGCTCTCTTAAAATTTCCTTTAATTGCCGAGCACGGTTTATAATTTGCTTAAGAGAGAGGGTGGTTATTCAAAGAAGACTGCAAAATCTCTTGTAAAAACCTTACCAGGTATTCTTTGATAGTACTGATACGCTCATAAACCATTGTTGATCAGAAAGCAATGTTTCAGTCGATTGACTGTTGCTTTAAAATCTTGCATCCAACGAGTGAGTCTATTAAAAACTGTAGTTTTACTATCAAATCACTCATTTAGTTGAAATTGTAGACTTCGTATCGAATGAAAAGATCTGTAGTCTTTCACATACTTCATCAAGTTCATGACCTGAGTTTTATCTATAAGCAACGGTGGTTACCTAAGCAAAAAGACATCATTTTAGTTTATTTTTTGTAACTCCAGTGCAGTAGTTTCTATAACACGAGTTTTTCTCAAAATCTATTCTAGTTTATAACACTGAAAGTAGTTCTGATTTTTTGAGGGTTTCAGGAATCACAGAGCACACAAGCAAGCGCAGTTTCAACCGTCCTCATAATATTTTTCTTCTGTTTACACATCTTAATCACAACTTTCTTTTTGTTTTTATCAAAAAAGCTACCAATATTCGCGTTCCGTAAGCTTTAAAATGCATGTTAATTGAGCCCCCTGTGTTATCGAGTTTTACAGCATTAGTTAATAAAGCTTTCTTTGTTGCAGAGTTGAATAATTACTTCTCTCAAAGTCTCTTCAAAGAGGACGATTTGAAAAAGATTGAGAGATTGGAAAATTTCATTAAGGTAAAAAAGTAGATCAGTTAGGATCGAGAGAATTTTTTTTGCGTGGAGCAAAGACTTATTTTAGACAATCCAGCTCAGTCTTCAAGACAAAATCTACTCTGCTTGACGTTACACTAACAGCAACTCTTTTTCCATTCCTAGGAATTACTTATCCTTCCAGCTGTGGTAAGAAATTCCGAAAGTGTTAATAAATTTTTTAACGCCTTTATGGAAAAACCAGTCAAATGTGAAAGGTTTGGCCGAAGAAGGTTACACTAAAACAAACTGCGGGTGACTGCAACTTTAGAATCTAACAATAACTACATTTTGTTTTTAGGACAGAAAAAGAGGAGGAGTTAAAAAAAAATTGTTAAAGTGACGGAAGTTTTAAGTGGTACGTAAACCTAATGAGTTTGAACAAAGTCCAGTTTCCACTGTCTATCCATCTGTCCATCCATCCATCCATCCATCCATCCATCCATCCATCCATCCATCCATCCATCCATCCTTCCATCCATCCATCCATCCATCCATCCATCCATCCATCCATCCATCCATCCATCCATCCATTGACCCATTTATCCATCCATCCATCCATCCATCCATCCATTTATCCATCCATCCATCCACCCATCCATCNCATCCATCCATCCTCCATCCATCCATCCATCCATCCATCCATCCATCCATCCATCCATCCATCCATCCATTTATCCATTTATCCATTTATCCATCCATCCATTTATCCATTTATCCATTTATCCATTTATCCATTTATCCATTTATCCATCCATCAGTCCATCCATCCATCCATCCATCCATCCATCCATCCATCCATCCATTAATCTCTCCCATCCATTACATTCATTACAATATTTGCAAGAGTAACGATCGTTTATGGTCTTTCCTCTTTCAATACAGATTCGTTGTTCTAATCATCACTCTTGAATCATCAATTTTAGGTCGAGATTCTCTTCGAACATTGCCAAAGAATCCAGTGCTGGGCATGGTTCATAGGACGATCAAGGCAGAGTTACCTCCGGATCACCAAAAGCCCAAAACCAATGAGATTTTTACACGTCCTGGTCTGTTAGGGAGATCAACGTCTGACCAAGGTTCTAAGGCAAACACTTCTCGTTCACCAGTCTTGACCCAAGTGGCAAAGAGACGGTTTAGCGTTGGTGCTGACATTGCGAATATTTCCAAGGAAAACTCAGTTAACTAATTTTGCGCTGATACAACGCACATTCAGTCTCCTAGCAAGACGAAAGAGAAACAATCCAAAGGTGATGAGACTAATGGTTATACAGAAAAAAACAAGTATGGAATAGAGGGGCCTTGTATCCAAACAGCATCAGATCAAAATGAAAAAAGCTTCAGAGGAACGAAGTATTTGTCTGTTTCGTCGTATGCTGGGGAGGAAAGTGGTGTGGTGTCACCTCAATATGGAGAAGAAGTTGAAGTACTGGAGAACCGTTCCGAAACACAAGGCAACGAAATATTGATTGCTATGTCGGAAAGAACAATCGTGGGAGCGATTTAGATGGAACTTCACGTGTAAAAACAACAAAAGGTATTCATCTCTTAACTCAATTACTTTTCTGCGCATAAAATCTTTTAACAGATTATTGTATACCTAACAAGATATGAAGATCTCTGTGTTGAGTTGTTGTGGACAATCTCCTTATCATTTCCCATTTTAAACTTCATGGTTCTGTTTTCTGTTCATAAGCTGTGTCAAGTGAGTATGGGGCGCATCAAGAGCATGAGCAAACATGAAATAAAAAGAGTTTAGAACTTGATAGAGGCGGAAATATTTGAGGGCAAAGGCTAGACAACTATATATGTACGTTCATGCGCATGGAACCTAGAGTTACTCCTCTCACCCACTGCAAATGCTTCTCTGACATTCGCTACAAATTACACCTACACATTTAAGCATTGACAGGTTTAAATGCTTGGGATTGTTACTGAAACAAGACAAGTTTCATTATCCCACTCTTTTGTAACTTTATTAGAGACGGCATACCTACAATGAAAACGAATATTGCAACTTGACTTTTCCAGTCCGCACACAAAGGAAACGACCCTTTCAAGACCAAACCTAGCCTGCTAGCCTGTATAATCTTTCAGTTAATATTATAGTGCAATCTGCATTAAGCGGATCAATACTCCCTGTGTTAAGCTTCCAAGACCTTTCTTCCCAAAGTTGCTGTAAAGCAAACTTGTATTTAGTTGACAATATCAGGGTTCCAGTGTGTATTTTCTGAAAACAGGGGTCTATTTTCCACTCCTCTTTCGGGTCAAGTCTTGTTCTAGGCAAAAAATTTTGGAACCTCTTCTGACGTTAACTGATTAAAGGAAAATTAGGCTTTTTGTACGTTATTCCTGATTATCATTTCACAAGAAAAAAACTCCACCGAGAGGTGACGATCCACTTTCAAGATCTGCGTGGTCCAGCTTCGCTCCGTCGCAGAAACCGCTCCGAAATCACCGTTTTTGTGTGTGAACCAAATCCCTATCCGATATAGTTTTCGTGCAGGCGCACTTCCGCATTTCTTTCTATATACAATATAAAACCTACTAGAATCACGCCAAATTCTAGTACACTTATTGACATAATATTATCAAATGAACCCTCAAGGATTTTAAAATCAGGAGTGGTGCATATGGGATTAAGTGACCATAGTATGGTCTATGCAGTACGTAAGTTTGCCATTTCATCTAAAAACACTCATAAGCATATGACCACTCGGCCACTAGGATCCAGACTGGTCCACTAGGATCCAGAAATTACAAAATCGTGCTGCACGCATAATAACCTTTCAAGGTTATGACGTTCGTTCCGCACAAATACGAAAACAACTAAACTGGGAAGAGCTTGCCTCAAGGCGTCAAAGGCACTTAAGTCTATTAATGTGTGATACAGTGAATGGAAATGTACCTAGTTACTTAAGCGATCTTTTCTCGAATGTCTGTGAGAACAACCCTTATAAGTCTATGCTAAGAAATACGGAATATAATGTTGTACTGGACCACGTTCCAAAAACAGACTTAAGTCTATTAATGTATGATACAGTGAATGGAAATGTACCTAGTTACTTAAGCGATCTTTTCTCGAATGTCTGTGAGAACAACCCTTATAAGTCTATGCTAAGAAATTCGGAACATAATGTTGTACTGGACCACGTTCCAAAAACAGAATATTATAAAGGGTCTTTCTCATACAGAGGAGGAATGCTGTGGAATTCATTACCAAATGACATAAAAGCGTCCGAATCTAAAGCTATCGTTAAAAGAAAACTGGCTAGTAGGCAGGCAAACTGTTGACTACATTTGACTATATTTTATTATTTGTACATATTTTTAGTGTAGTTGTACAGTATTTACTTCTGTTTCTATACGGCTTTCATGTAAAGAAGTTATGTAGCTTATGAAATTACTGTATTCAAATCAATCAATCAATCAATCAATCAATCAATAATATGCGGAACCAAATGAGCATGACTGTTATATGAAGCCGTAGTTTTTTAAAGCTTCCTCTAGGTTACTGAACAAAAGATTATAAAAGTTGCTAACCATGCTTTTTTGTCACTAAGTCGCCTGGTGGAACCGTTGAAAAAGAGTCAGAAGTAAAGGAATCAACTGAAATGAACCGACGAGTCAAGCTAGTTTCAGTGGAAGGAATTCAGAAACGCAAGACCCCAGAAAAAAATTATGTAAGTATTACAAACTGGTTAGTTAGTAAATCACTAAATGGATAGCAAGTTCCATAATGTCTTAATCTTGTTTTCAATTTCAACGAAATTCAGCACCAGAAAACCTTTCCTTTCGTCGGACTTTGGACTTTCCTTGTCCAAATATATTTTGCTATTACCGTCGATATAATCAATGATGAGATTGAAAGGGCACAGGCTGTTGTTGCCCCAGCAATCAGGATAACAAATGATGCGTGCAATTACCATTAACAACCCGATATATCCAAAGCAAATAAATGTCTCTCTATTTTTCATCTAACTGTTGCTGGTTTAATTTATGGCTCATCAGTACACACAGGCAATTACTACGGTCAAACCGCACCAAAAAAACGTACATCAATTACTTAATTGTATGGAATGGCTGCCTGTTGTTTGTGTATTAGATGTTACTTGTTTTCTCACATTCATCATGAGATAGATGTTGAAGAACTTCTTTGGCTTTTTAGTGTCAAAGGGCTTAAGAAATGTCCTAAATACAAATGCTAATTTGCTCCCCTCTAGGTTTACATCCTTAAAGTGCTGTGGTCGGACGGAAGTATTAACATCATCTACAGACAGTGCAGTGATTTCTTCTTTCTACAGGTTGAAAACATGATAAGTATCTTACATAAATTTCTTTTCCTTGTGGGGCTGTTTTAGACGTTGTATTTCTCATGGACTGTGTCTAATGCAAATTGAGGGCTATGAATTTATCATGGTTTTATTACCAGAACTACCGTCAAAAGTTTTCACTGTTTAACCCCCCATAAATAATGCCTTTACTTACTTGCTTACTAAATGAACAAATAGACTTTGCTCATAAGCATTATATTTGGCACAGTGACGTTTGACCTAACAGAGTCCTTAGAAGGCAAAGTTCTCTTCCGCATTCTCTAAGCAACAATTTTTCTTGATCATGATGACTGAGCCCGTCGTTGACGTGTGTCCTTTATTCATAGAAAATCTGGTAACAAAGGGCTGATATCCGTGCCAGCATTTTTAACTCGTGAATACCCGAAGGGTACCATTTACGAAGTTAGCACTTTAGGTTGAGATGTGCAAATGAGTCACTCACTCGATGTAGACGATCAGCTTCGGTTCCGAAATCAGAGGCATTGCTGCCTGATATGTAAACGACATATCGTCATTGTTGCCTTATAAGTGCAGCCAAAGTGAACACTTTTTAAAAGCGTGCATTTGGTCACGTCACCTGGTGGGAGAACCCTACGAGGTTATCACGCTCTGATTCGCTGCGGAAACGTCAACGCTCGCTGTTGAGTTTATCAGTTCTGAAGGCTGTCACAGCCGTATTTACACTGTATGCTACGAGTATCTCGATCATAAGCACTTCTGGGACGGTTTGAATTTCCAGTAAGATGAAAAATTATACGTGTTTTTTGTTTATTTTTGAGTACCCTAAACTTTGCGGTGTCTCCTAACTAAAAAGGACTACCATTGGTTAATTCTTGGTCTTGTGGGCCACCAGTACCTCAAGTTCACGAGTGAGAATAGTTGCACGGTAAGTTCTTCCGTTATAACGAACAACGGAAGAACTAAAACTCGCTGGAATCACGCTAAAACGTCCAACTTCATGAATAACGGAAGAACTAAAACTCGGCGCATGAATCGCGCTGAAACCGCCAAAAATGTTTAGAACGCGCTATTAATAAGGCAAAGAGACAAGTTCAGATGGTTTATATAAATTTTTAATGCTGGTTTTGTGCCCTAAATAACGATCGCTAAAATCCCCATACAAAACCCAATAATATTTCTGTTACCCAACGATTGTCACTCGTGAGCTTGGGATCGATCAACAAATGTACTCCGCTCCGGATTCACTAGTACGTGATCAAGGCATGGTGGAAAGTGGTGTGACAGAAGGTGGGAATAAAACTGCCACTTTGACTTTCGTGGATGAACACAACAACACCAGTATGGAATTAAAGTTCTGTTGCAATAAAGCTTGAAAAGTACAGACATTGTTCTAATTGTTTTGATTGATTCTGTTGTCACTGTTTGAAGCGAAAGTCTAGGAATAAAACCAAACACCTAATGTCAGGTCACTCAGGAAACCAGTTTGTTTTGTTTTCCTGCGAGTCCTGAAGTTTCGTCGAGGGAAACACCAGGACTCGAGGGAAAACAAAGTCAACTGTAACTGTTCCTTATTTTTTCCGACAAGTAGTCAGTCGATTTTTATTTAACTACTTTGCCAACACATTATCTAAGTTGGCGGCCAAATTAATAAAAGTAATCTTGCTCCTCAATGTTAACGAGATACCTAACATCAAAGTTCCACTGAAACCGACTGGATTTTAACTTATAAAACACAAAGTTGGGTCATGAGCTATATTAAAACTATATGCAAAGAGGGAATAAAGTTATGTTATTTTGCTGAAAATAATGAAAATGTTTCCTTTAGGAAAACCTCAAAAAAGAATTTCCGAAGGGCTCTGGCAGAGAAATTCCCATGTTAAAAGGTAAGGGAAAAAATGACCTTACTGAAAGATTCCCAAATTAATTGTTCATAAGTAACGAGTAAAGGGTTTAGTTGGTAAAGAAACTATGGTGTCACTTTGTCGTGGGAAGAAATCTGAAGAAGTGACTTCAGCTTATATATCTTTTTACTCTAGTAACTTGTATGACTATATCAACTCATTCAATTGACACAAATTTTTGTTTACTGACTATGGTCATAAACATTTAGAATATCTGCGGTCAAGTTACAAAACTGGCCAACATGCAATTTTGTTTGATGTTGTTCTTTTTCAGGAAGAAAATTTTCTGAAAACTGCCAGTTTTGTCTCAAGGACGGAACATGCAAACGAAGACAATCTTTAAACAATTATTTTCACGTGAGTATAGAGACAAGATGATACCAAATTATAAAATTGTTGACATCTACATTATCCTTAAGTTACTGCTGGCTTATTCTCGGCATTTTTTTCCGTGTTATTTATAAGGACCTTATCAACGCTCCTGATGATATTTCAAACTGCAAAGCTGTCCTTCTCTTTTGCCGGGCTCGCCTCAGTGATTTGCGTCCTCATGGAACGTAAGCGAACATAAGAGAGGTTAAGCATCATGTTTATGTCAAACAGCAAACACGAATTTGTGCCACGTGACCAAGTTTCCCCATTACTTGTCGTTTACTGTTCAATTTTTCTGCACATAAATTAACAGTTTCAGGCAATTTTTTATCCATAAGAATTGTTTTGTGCTGTTTTTATCTGCTCATTTTCTATTTTGAGAAATTCTCAACTTGAATTGCCATATACGTGAAGCTTAAACTTTATTTTATTTTTGATCCCTCATAATTTTCTCTCTGATCCTAGATATATTGATTTTAATTGATGTCATTACCAACAGCATCATTATAATTATTATTGTTTTTACCGGTGTTTATCTCCGTCATTACCATCGTCATCTTCATCGTCAACAAAGACTTTATTTCAAGTGTTAAGTTCAATAATTTCAATTTAATTCAGTTAAATTAATATCGAGGGTAATCTTTTTTCTGTCTGCGTAACAGTTAGACAAGATAAATTAAATGATGGCGAATTTGAATTTGGTGATGAAAAGTCAGGAAAAGTGCATGATTAAATTGTTACAAATGGAGATAAAACAGAAGGATTGTTATACATATGTTAAGCCACAAATTGTGTAAGTCTTCGTTTCATATTGTGTTTCATACTTGTTTCATTTTCAGATCTAACAAAACTAATGACAAGACCAATGAAAGTAAGTGACTATAATCTTTTTCCCTAGGAGTGACGTAGGCCATTTTTGATATGAGAAAAGTCCATGTATTCTCATTGCCAGGGCAAGTCGCCAACATGCTAACTAGGATAAGTAACTACACACACTTTGAGAAGATGATGCGGTGGCCAAAGTGCTTTCCATGTATGTAAGAGGGACTTTCTATGTGTGAATTCAATTTTACTTTTCCTGTTTTATTGCAGGTAATGATCCCGAAAATGTTGAGATATCAGGACCTGTGGTGTTTGAACAGTACATAGTCATTGCTGACTACAAAAAGAAGAACAAGAACGATATTTCACTTACAGCTGGTGACACTGTTGATGTTTTCGAAAAGAGCCACTTTGGTTAGAGATAAGAGGGCAATTTTCCAGCCAACTTTGTTTAGAAACGGTCGCTGACTTAAATTTGTTGTCTTAACCTTTTACGATTATCTGGAGCGTTCGCTTTTTAACCTCAAATAATTTAGATCTTTAGTAATGATAATTTAATACATTTACAATTTTTTTTAAGGTTGGTGGTTGGTTGATCATCAAGGCGAGATAGGCTGGGCTCCTGCGTCACATTTGGAGCCTACTGATGACGGCGCAGAGATCACTACCTCCAAAATCTTTGCACCTGGCCAAGGTAAGATTGTGAGTATTATTGAGCAAGTGGACATAAATTCTGTCAATCTGATCGTGCTACTTAAAATTACCTTAAAGTTTGCAAGACATCAACACGACACCGTGGATAGAACTGAGCTGGGTTGCGGCTGTCGATAGTTCTTGATATATTTTTGCTGATCAGATCTTCTGCACAATCATTCTATTTCCTGCGGCATTTGTCGTTTTAATGCTGGTAGTACCTATATTTACTATCTGAGAAGATGTACTTAGAAGACACAAAAGGAATTTCTTAGCCAAGCCAGAATACGACCCTTTTTATACCCTACAAACTACACCTGTAACATTCTGTAAGACCCGGCCCAGATATACTTAGCGTGCGCCCTGTAGGTTCTGCGTCAACGTGTGAACACGAAGACATGAACAAATTTAAGAAGATTGTCTTACACTTCGGCGATGTTTGTCGGTTTAATTTGCCACTCGTATTAAGGGACACTGAAGACGAAGCGATTGTAATAAGACAACTGACGAGGGTTGTATAGACGGGACTATAACGGCCTTTAATGATACGCACTGGATAAGAATACTTTACGTTACTCCACAGTTCTGTACTGGAAAGTCTTAAGCATAATAGGCTACTTTTAACAGTTCTCACTCCTAACTAAATAATAGACAAAAATTCAAACATTATTTTTATACTTTAACAGGGCGAGAACTGTCGTAAATCACTCAACGCTTCTGTTTTATGCAGGGAAATAGCAATAATTCATCGCAAACAAACATTTTATCACTGTGTCGATACAGTTTGATGATAAATCAGATTTCCAAGGACATATATATTCACTTAAATAGCTGAGAACTGAATGTTAACAGGCGTCAACTACTCAATGTAACGCAACCTCGAGATTCCGTTACACTGTCACGTTCTGTGGCATCAACGTTCAGGATACTATAAAATATCTACCATTTGGCATTTCTGGAACTGTAGCCGAAAGTGTTACTGACGCTACATTGCTTTTTACAAAGACAAGGAAGAAACTTTGCAAACATATAACAGAAAAGTGCTCTATTAATGATGTTACGGCTAAATGTCGTGAATATGTCCAGCACTGTTAGAGCAAAAGAATAGCTGTTCTGGTCTGAAAAAATATATCATACCGTCATCAAAAGATCAATTCCAGCATTAAGGTATTCATTGTGCAACAGCTCACAAAGCAACGTCTAGTTTTCTAAACAAAGTGGTTTTCAGACAATAGGGGTCAAAAGTGTTGGGACCTTTCCAGTGATATTACTAAAACTAGCGACCCCTCCCCTCCCACCCCAAACAAAGTTGAATTTGGAGCAAAATGGGTGAGAATAAGTGCTTTTTTAGCCACAACATTGCTAGGGGGAGTGGGGGAACGACGGGATGAACCCAAAGCCGAACAAAAAAATTGTCCTTAGGAGCAGGGTTCTACGTAACAATTGCTTGGAAGGGCTTTTTCACACAGTCCCAAGTTCTTTTGTCCTCCATTGTAGATAACACGATAGAGAAGAAGAATTAAACAAACAAATTGAAAAAGTAGAAAATAATAAGCAAGAATTTATGTTTCGCCTTTTTTTGGCTAATTTTACCTTTTTAATTAAGATGGGCGTTATCAGTATAGTCATTTTCTGAATTCAGAAAAAGTAATTTGCGGAGTGTTTTTTCTTGACTGACGCGATAGGATTTCTCATTCGACAGCTTAGCCCGAAAGCGAGAGAAAGAAAGTTTATATAATTCTAGATCGGAACTGTTTACATGAAATTTCCTGAAGCCGATGCTTTTGAATTGTAAGAGTAGCCACTACTTGTTTTTTGAAACAGATTTATAATGCCAGAGGGTACCTTATTGTTATGGACATCATGCATAAGATTAGATAATGTCTGGAAATATAAAACGTTCAAGGGTAAAACGTTGGCGTCAATGAAGAGAGGTATTTCACGATCGCCTTTAATGTCATTCCTCTGTTTTGCACTGCCCAACTTTACTGAGCATCATTTTTTCAAGACCGCGCAGATTTAGGCAAAACTCGACGAGATCTCGCGCGTCCAGAGCCAACTTCAGCCGCGTGCACCGCGTGCATTACGGTTGACCAGAATACGAGTGCATGCTACCTCCCTGCTTCTGTTAGGAGGAGAAACGTCCTTAATCAAAGCAATATTATAAAAATGTAAAATAGGTTGGTTTTTAACTATTGAATTGACAAGATCTTCTTCAAAAGGTCACGGCAATAATTTTCCTATCTTTTTACAAAATGTTGCGGGGAAAAGTCTGAAAACAGCACTTCATAGCAGCTCGAGTTAAAATTTTCAGAGGGGGAAATGCCCTTTCAAGGTTTGTGCCTAAATTTGGTGCTCAAAGTCCCTGGTGGTGGTATCTCTTAAAAAACTATGCATCTGGTACAAGTCAAGGGCGTATGTACCCATACGCATCGAAGCACGTGCTTGGCAATAAAATATCAGACAGTCGGGAATTAAGTCGTAGGAGGAGGAATCCTGTTGACGACTGCAATAGGCACATTTGCTCTTTTTCTGATAATTGTTGGTTTCCCCAGAGAAGCTACATGATTGGTGGACTAGAATGCTGGTGCTAAGAGTAGGCAAAGGACAGTAAATAGCCTGCAGTGCAGGCGTTTTCTTCGGGCGCGCAAATGTTTTTGCTCGCGAAAGCGCCATGTTGAAACCGAAGAGAGGAGGAAATGGGGCGAGTCAAAGGGAGCGGGGAGCGAGCGGGCAGAGAGAAGAGAAAACGGAGTATCTTTCCTCCCCTCCCCCTCCCCCCTTTCCTTTTTTCGCCCTCGTACCTACCCTTACGGTTACTATTTCTACTCTCCCCAATCTTCCACTGTCATAAAATCAAAGATGGCGGCTACAACGATGCGAACATGAACAAGGTTTCGCCCACCCAAAATACGCCTGCACTACAGGCTAGACAGTAAATTACAGAGCAAAGCAAGAGAGGCAAAACCCGGGAAAACAGCGCTATGTTGCAGAGCTTTCAATGTATTTTACTTTATGGATAACAGCTCGAGTCTCTCGTTGGTTTCATTTCAGTTAAATTTTTTCTAAAACGTAGTTGTCAAAACTGTGGCTAGTCACGAATAACGAGTCAAGGTTACACTATTTTAGAGCCTAAATGTCAGATCTTTCCGAGGAAGCATCCACCAGAACCCCCTAGAACTATGGTCATGTTACAGCGTTTGATTCGGTAAAAAGAAAGGCTACACATGCAAAATGGATTACGACCCAATTGCCAGTCCATCCAATGTGTTGAACTTACAGGTTAGGGTGGATTTGGAAAAAGTATCATGACTACTCACCTAAAAGCCAGGAGCAAATTGGAAGTTTTGCCTAAACTACACCAAGTTAATATAGAAAGATTGGTTCATAATGTCTGTCAGGTGCGTAGCCATATGCGGCATCAAGAATGTTATAATTATTTCTTTTTTATGCACAGAGGAAGCATATCAGTCAATGCAAAGCTATGAAGCAAGAGCTGAAGACGAACTTTCTTTTGACATTGGTGTTACGCTCAAAATTGTGGAAAAAAACTTGGATGGATGGTGGCTAGCCAGGTAAACAATGATGGAATTTTTCCTGCAAGTTGTTATTGTCGTTGCATATTTGCAATAATAAATTAATTAAGTGGTTTACGAACAATGCCGCCATTACACTGAAATCTTCCAAAATTCAAAGCGCGATTGCTTTTTCATTACAAAGGCTCGTTCAGTGTTCTCCTCCTTTACACTATGCCAAAAGACGTTGCATCTCATTTTACTTTCCTCAACTCTATCGATTTCTCGTGTGGCGGAACAATATGTTTTAAACCCAATCTACCATGTACTTTTCCCGGCGCTTACAAAATCGCTCAACAAAATATGAAGTGATACAAACAAGCTTAAGCAATATTTAAAAAACTCATCCCATTTTGCACTTCTGTACTGAAGATACCAAGGTAAAGAAGGCTGGGTGCCTGCAGTGTTTTTGTCAAGAGTAGTTGATTCTGATGATTCTTCGCCTTCATTGAGTGGAAAAATGTGTGGACTTGGGGATATCGTGTCCTCTGAAGGGGGTAGGTGCTTTGTTACACAATAACATTTTATAGTGACAATTTTTGAACATTTTATTCGCCCTGTGTAGCAACTCGGATATTAAATTTTCATGGATCTGAGAGATCGACACGCGCATTTCAGTCATGTAAATAAATAACGAATGTTTATGTTTTCGTTTCGATCCTTGTGGTACTCCTGTTTTGATAGCTTGATAGTATCCCTATGCAGATTTGATACAAAGGCATCAATTATAACATGTAATTTATTTTTAAAGACTGTAGGTGTTGGTCTGGCTGCTATGGGAATCGTACTCGGGCCTACCCCCGTAATACCTACCCGACAATTACGCTAACCATTCGGTTGCTTCCCATATAATCCATGTAGCATTATTTGACGAATTTCTTGATTTTTCTTTCTCATCGTAGTTTTCGAAAATGGTGATAGTGAGAGAGGAAGAAGATCACTCCCCATTAGGCGAAGCATGGTAAGGTTCTTTCATGGTCAATATTGTCTTCAAACTCTCTTAACGCCTGATAAAAATAATACAGTCAAACCCCTCTTTCGGGACACCTCATTATTACGGACAGCTGACTGTGTCCCTGGGGACAGAAAGCCCTTAACATTTTCTCGAAATTCAACCCGCTCAATACGGATATCCCGTTAATACGGACGGCCCCCTCAGTGTCTGTTTTAGCTGGGTTTGATTGTAATATTGTATAGGTGATTTGAATTCCTAAGACACCTTCCATTTTCATCCAGTGTTGCTTTTAATCGCTACGATCTTTCTTCCTTTGTATAGTTTCTGTAGAGAAGTTATTAGGAGCGAGTTATTAAACAGCCTTAAGATAAGGATCCGTTCTTTCTCTCGGCATTAAATCGTTGGATTTTATGTCTCTTTCCCGTGAAAACTGGAGCTAAACTGTCAAACGTGTTCCATATCACTTAAAGTACGGAAGGTCAAACTGGGGTTAATTGGAAGAAGATTATATAACCACATGTTTTTTTCGAAAAAAAAAAAAAAAAAAAAAAAACCAAATTTTTTTTAAATTTTTTTTTTTTAAATACAAAAAAAACATACATTTATATTTAAGTGTGAGCTTTTTTTATTTCTTTTTAGAAAATTATTTTGTTTTTTATTTTTTTTTTTTTTTTTTACAATTTTTATATAAACAGTCTTAAGATTATAATCCGTTCTTTCTCTCGGCATTAAATATTTGGATTTTAATTCTTTTCCCCGTGAAAAATGGAACTAAACTGTCAAACTTGTTCCAAAAACATTAAAAAACGGAAGGTAAAACTGGGGTTAATTGGAAAAAAATTAAAAAACCCCATTTTTTTTTCAAAAAAAAAAAAAAAAAAAAAAAAACCCAAATGATTGTCAATTTTTCTTGCTAACGGACCAATAAAGCAGGCGTTGAAAGAACCGTCTGAACTTTTCCTTCTCTCTTTCAGGTAACTTCTTTCTTTTGCAATTTGTTAATTTCGATCCAAAATTTTGTGAATCACTCGAGAAAGCTTTCTTAGATTTACTGTGCGGAGCAGGAATTCAAGTTTTAAAAACAGGCGTTTCTTGTGCAATGTCGTTTTTAGCAAAAATTCGACTGAGATTGAATAAAAAAGGTTGTGTTTATAATATTGTTCAAGGATATTCCCAACTTTTGCTAGTCGTTGCGATAACACAAAGAACAGTTGCGAAAGAAGTAATAGCGTACTGACACTTCTTACCAGAATTTTGGGCAGTATATGGCCTAACCAATTCTTCAGTTGCAACAAAGAAAATCGCTGAAAATGTAGTTGAATTTCTGGAGGTGGAAAAACTTTGCGAACAAGCATCTCCTGTGCAGCATTTTCCAGCAATTCATAAGAGAGCAGTTTCCGGAGAGGTCAGGAAAATTCAAACGTTTATAAATTTCCCAGCAATTGCATCTTGAGATACTTAAAATGTTATTGGTCCGTTCCCGAAAAAATATGTGAACGAGAGTCTTTTTTTTTTTTTTTTTTTTAAAAAAAACGTGATTAAAAAATTTTCTTCCAAGTCCCCGGTTCGAGAATGCCAACGAAAAAAAACCTCTTTTATTTTTTATTTTACTTCTTGTTTTAAGGAATTGCCAAAAATCTTTTTAATTATTTTTTTAAAAAAATTTTTTTCTTAATTATTTCCTCTTTACGGCCATTTTTTTTTTGCTTTTATACTTATTTCTCCTCCACCCTTCCAAAAAGTTGTGTAATTGTTGGTGGAGGAAAAACATTTTGAAAAAAGATTGCGTTGGTAAGGTTTTTTAACAATTGAAAAAAGGACCGTTTTCCGGGGGGTTAGGAAAAATTAAAAGTTTTTAAATTTTCCCAAAAAAAAAATTTTAAAAATTTTAAATTTTTTTGGTCCGTTCTCTAAAAAAAATTTGAAAGAGAGTTTTTTTTTTTTTTTTTTTTTTCAAAAAAACGTGATTGAAAAATATTCTTCCAAGTGCCCGGTTCGAGAATGCGCACTGACAAAACACTCATTGAATTCTTAGTATACGTCATGTTGTAAGGAATTGCTCAAAATCATTTTAATTAATTTTCTAAATCAAGTTTTTGCCTAATTAATTCCTCCTTACGGACACTTTATTATAGCCTTATATACTCATACTACTGCGACCTTCCCACATCAAACTTCAAATCTCTACTACACTTCAAAAACGGGTTGCAAGAATAATGTTGAGAAGTGCTTTCGATGCTCACACTTACTCTAAGACTTACGAATTCTGGATCTTGAGAGTATATACAAACTTAGAATAGGGAAATTTATGTATCAATACAAATACGGCTCACTTTCTGATTGCTTCAATAACATGTGTTCTGTGACACGCCAGGTCCATTCGTATGGCACTATGATATCGACTCTTTTATTTACCCCATTGCAGGACTAATATATAAGTAATTTCTCTATCAGTTTCCAAGGTCCTAAATTCTTCAACTCTCTAAGTTTTGAAATTCAAAATGCAACAAGTATCGCTGCCTTCTTTTGCTGTAAGCTGAAAGCAATTTTCATTTTCATTTTTTCCCAATTTTCCCTTTCCCTTCGCTTTTTTAGCCTTACTATGATTAATACAATTCTGCTATTGATTTTTCCATATTTACTTTTTGTTATACTTCGTTGTTACTAATAGTTAATTGAGGGAGCCTATTCCCTATAAGCTCGGGGGTTTCCCTTGGGCTTGCTCGCCATATGGGCAAAGCTTTTTAATATTTAAAAGCTGTTCTTGTTTTGTATATATTATATTAGTAAAACAATAAACTTGAAACTTTGTTTTTACAATTTTATTGTCGCTTCCCATCTCAGGTTCAGCGATCGATAAAAAAGAAGCCAAATAAAAATACCACTCCTCATCAGTTCAGTGAAACAAGGACAGCAGAGGAACAAAATCAGGGAGATACGATGTCCTTTTCCAGTGGATATCATTCCTATTCAAGCAGCAGTCTCTTCTCCCTCGTGTCAGATGTTTTTGTACCTGAAGAAGGAAGTGTTGAGGTAATACCGGATAGTTTTGATAGTTGTGTGGTAAGCACTGCTTCAAAACAAGTTTCCTCTCCCTCAAATGTTGTTACAACATTAGCGCGGGCTGGGAAAACATCCGGGTCTTCTATGAATGGAAGTGCATTGACCTTAGGAAGAAGAAGTAAATCTCTTGGACGCAGTCCCCAGCCGAGAACTGATGAAATTAAAGCAACTCCTGTAGAGTCCATCTCTGAAAAGGAGCAAGAAAATGATTCCCAGAACACGAGGTATCAAGCCATGTACACGTACATCTCTCAAGAGAAAAACGAAATTACCATCAACGAGGGAGACATAGTGGAGGTAATTAAGCGGAGCAGCAATGGCTGGTGGCTTTTAGTCTCAAACAATCAACTGGGCTGGGGTCCATCAAATTACTTGCAGTCAGTGTAAATGGGCGGAAAGTACCTTTAGAAATGGAAACCCTGGACACTTTGCTAATCAGGGAAAGTTTACTTACTGGGTGGAAATAAGACAGCATTTAACAGGATTATTCTTTTCTAGGTGTTGTTATTATCAAGGTACTAGTTCGGGGATTGCAACGGGTGCAGAAACTTGGACCTTGTTGTATCGAGAAGAAGAATGTGAATTTAATTGATAATAAAACTCAAGCCATTTTCATATTTTTGATAATTAAAATACAGTAACCGTTAACCTATTTTTAAACATTAAATGAATTTTTTATTATGATATGTTCGTTAGTTTTAACCTCCCGACGTGGAATAACACGATGATGCCATGACGTAGGCTCTATCAACAAGGGTCTTAAACAAAAAGTGAGAATTTCTAGAAGACTGCTTTTAGTATAGAATCATTAAGAACCAGTGTAATAGCCGCTGGTTACAAGTTGGCGGCACAGCACTAAAAAAGTTGAAACTTCTTCATGATGGAATCACTTACGGATAAGATATCATCGACAACATTTTTTATGTGCAATAAAAAATCTATTTGAACTCAGAATCACTCTAATATAAATACGCTGTCACCACACACACGATCTTATAATGTAAATAATATACAATCCTGACAATGACGGGATCATTACTGAACAGTACTACTGAATTTTGTAGTCATAGTGATATATTATGTCATAGATAAGAGTGATAGCCAAACTGTACGGCTGACCGTGTTTAATGATTATGATACAATGAAAACAGTCATGACTGGTTTGCACCTGACGTCACGGCGGCCATGTTGGTCGAAAAGAACAAAAGCGTTTCCCTCCACTGGGAATGAAACTTTTTTTCATGCGGATTCTGCGAAGATTAATTTATAAAATTGTTTTGTAAGCCAGCTTTGCCACCTTGTCAGGCTGTTACAAACCAAGAATTAAGTGAACACCCAAGAGAAACTCGTGGGGTTTGGGGTTTTAAAATTAAATTACATCAAAATATGCAGTTGCTTATAGGACAAGAAGGAAACCCAAATACTTAGCACTCTGTCTATGACAACAACAACTTCTGTTTATAACCCTTTCTAGGATAAAACCTACCCTGTCCAGCGGCATTTCCCGCATAGGCTCTTATAAAGGAGTTCATCTCCACTCCTCCGCGAAATTCCTTAACTGTTTAAGTATTAGTTATTTACCTAAAGTACCTTGCGTACAGGTTTTGTTTTAAAATGGTTCATAGGTTAAATAAACCGCAAATATTAAATTATTAGAAAAAGTCAAACTATTAAAGGGCACGAAAAAACTGTCTAATTTTACTTTATTGAATCACTTTCCATGCTCCACAATTTTGCACATTATGACTTCGTTTTTTGCTGCCAATGATGCATAAACTGTCAACGTCATTATGTTCAAAAGGGCGTAATACGGATAATTTAAAACAGAAAAACATCGAAATTGTTATCCAATCTTGCGTGCGTACATTCAAATTTTAATTCCCCTTTTCAGACAAAGGATTTCATTACAGTTTGCATTTGCGTCTGTGCGAAAAACAGTGCAGTTTGCTGGGCAAGTTTCGTTAACATCTGTCTTAAAACTGGGTGGGTTTTGTATCGAAATGCATTGTATTAGTGTTTTTAGGATGAATTCTGAAGCGGTTTCCTAAGCAACATTGTAATTGTCAATAAAGCGGGGGAAAGCGTTCAAAAAACAGTCCTATAAGGTAATGTGAGTCAAATGAGGTCAATTGAGCGCCTGCCAAATAGTGGAAAGAAAAAATTAATAAGAAAATAAGGCATTAATACCTCGCGAAATCCCTTAGTACAATGGCGCGAGAGTATCAAAGTTGAGAGAGCTGATCAAGAAGCTTGACTTGACATGATATTACAGCACATTTCGATGCTGGGACAACGTTTTTTAAAAACTCTTTTATTCACCTTTCCCTATCCAAAACATCCTTGGAGATACAGGGGCCAGAAGAGCGGTCAGTCGAGTCGGCGAACGAAAGAGCCCCTGCACCTTCCAAGGACGCATGTCACAGCAGCTCACAGTATTTCAAAATGTTGAGATGGAATGTTAAACAGTCACAGCATCCGCTGTCAACAGATATTGTGAGAATGTTGAGAGAACGTTGTGATTAGGGCTTTATAACATTGATTTTAAGGTGGCAAATAAACAAATGAAAACTTGGAGCGCAGTGGAGGAAGGGGGCAAGCGGATACAAAATTTTATTTGGGCTTCACTTTCATCTCTGAGCGTTTAAGTGAGTAATAATAGCCTCTAAAGGTACCCCAGTTAATACCCATACCATCATCACTATGTGCACCGTTAATGTACAAGCCGTTCAGGTTTGATGAAAGACACGCGTTGTACCACCATGCCCCTTTGTACAGTTGAGCGCAGCTGCCACTTCCTCCGTCATTATCCTGGTCCTTTGTGGAAAACTGCATGCCACTATAGAAATGTAAACGAGGAAAATTAATAACAAGTAAATGATGGTCGTCCTGATAAAATAGTCAAGTGTTTTATGCACCGGAACTTACACCAGCGAACTCTGCTGATTTGTTTGTTTGTCAGGCTTTCAACGGGCATTTTATGATTTACTTTTGATAAGTAATTTGGACATTTACATTCACTTTTACGACAAACAGTGAACGTTTATTATTTTTCGTGTAGAGATCCATCGACGGATAAGTCCGTGTCTAAGACTTTGGTATCAGCTTTAACAATAAAACTCAAAGTACTCAGAAGTTTGGCTGCTCGGCAACGTTTATTTCTGGACAATCCGTTTGTCGACATCAACACATGCAGTTTGCCTTAAATTACTTTTCTTTGAAACAAGTAATCACAGCGAACACGTTGGTAAAACAACACGGTTAATCAGAAAAGCCAACAAGAAGACGGATTGCTAAAAATAAAGTTGGGGTCTCTTAAATTAATTAGTCAATAAGATTAGCTTGACAGCTATGCTTTGCCTCCAGAAAGAAAAAATTAGTCAGCAGTATTTTTTCTTCTTCTTGGACTAACGCCCTAGGTTCTAGCGGTTCGTGGCTCCGCGTTCGCTGCTTGCTTGTGTATGTTGCTACCCTAACCCCATGACTCTGCAAACAAATACTGGGTTAGCTACTTGCTCGATCGCACGCTAGAGGTCTAGCCAACATCTAGCCCGCAAGCAGGCTCTTTCGCGGCACAATTTCCGGTGACCATTGACTTTATTCGAGATTTCCAAATGGTGCACTTGTTCTGATGATAGCCAACTGTGGCTGTTGCACTTAGCCGTCCGAAGGGGTTATTTACTTACTCTGCTTCCCAGTAATTGTCGCCTTCATAACTCATTGAATCACCCGATGTACCGCTGTAGCCTCCGACGGACAGTCGATATTTTTCACTCTCGTCAGACACGTTAAAAGTTGTATATTCTGCGTATCTGATATCTCCTTCAAAATCCTCCAAGTCAACTCTAAGCACCACCTCATCTGCGGCTGTTAAACGGTGAAGATTGTCGTTTCCAAGCCAAAACTCGCCGTTCAGATTTCCAAACCCGTTTTTGTAGGAATCCCACCCACGAAAAAAATTAACGGAACCCTCCAAACGTCTTTGAAACACCGCCCAACCTCCACCGTCTGTAGTCATGCCACACAGCACTTGGATTGGAATTCCACCATCTGGATTGATAATGTACACGCCACTGGATGAGAAACCATCTTGAAGAAGCTGGACGCAACTTTTGGGTTCTGTTCATCAAAAAATCCAAAGTATTTAGTTATAACAAAGAATGTGTGGTGTTAAAAAGTGATGTTGCTATTGCAAATGTCATAAGAATAAGATCTATATTAGGTGCACTCAACTTTTGACTATGTGCTACCGACATGAAAGTAAATTATTCGAAAACATCCAAGCTTTAAAATGATAGATTTGAAATGAGGAGAGATTTCTCATTTTTGGATGAGTTCCTTTGGGACGATCCAGATCAGGATTTATGATCCAAGATCACTCGGATCCTGATGCATCGAAAGGAACCGATGAATCCTTGTCCAGATGGTGTCTAGCGGTTTCTTTAAATACTTGGGTCATTTTGAACGTTTTTCACAAGTGTCACAATAATTTAATAACTATGCAGTGGGAGTCCCGTGACCTGGTCATGATCAGACACCAGTTAATTTTATGTAGCCTCAAAACACGTCTATCGATCAGTTGTCGATCTCACTTTCCCCACACCGTACTTGTCGCTTTACATATTAGCCGACTCAATTACCTGAACCAAGCATGTCAGTAAAAACTTACTGCAAGGGATTCCTGCATAACCATCGGAACAACTGCATCGTACGCTATCATCCTGATAGTTAGGGATGCAGACCCCTTTGGCGCCACATAGAGAACCATCCATTTCACATGCACTCTGAAAATACAGTAACAATAACATAAACGGTAACGTAACGGATATCACAAACAGTGGCAACGAGAGTAACAGTCTTAGTTACAGAAAGCTGCTAGAAGTAACACTTTTTCTCAGTTGCAATAAATAAACAGGAGTTTTTCCACAGAGTGTCTTCGTCTTTGCTATTTGTCTCGTTATATCTTCAGTAAGTTTTTCTTCTTCTTCTTATTATTACTTTTAACAGGTAACTTTTTAGATAATAACTGGCCTCTTAGCTAAATACATAGCCTTAAAACATGTGATACGGTAAAATAAGACATTTATCTTTACTTAATTTTAGAGGATAGTGAATTGTTGGTTGAATTTAAAACTTCTCTTCGAAGATCACCTTCAGACCACCATACTTGAAATCTCCATCTTGACTGTAGTTATCAAGACTCCTAAATCGATCCGAGTTGCTAAGCTGACACACAAATCCACCTGCTTCATTCTCAAGCGTCGCAAAGTTATATGATTGACACCTTTCTTCTTTAAGGCACTTGAATTGACAGTGGTTTTCTGAATCCACTAAAATTTCTTTTATCATGTTTCCATTCAGCTTTCTTCCCTCTTTCGGCTGAGCAAAATTAAACGCCAACATGTTAGGGCCAGGTATTCTACTTTTGGAATGTACAATCGTACCGAACACCAACACAATCCAAAGTCGTGCTACAATAAAATGCATGCTGGAAATAGACAGGACATAGCCGGAGCAGGGCGTTAGTAAGACGACTGACTTTTATTTTCAGCTTTTAACACTGTTGTATTATTAAATCAGGGTCCTAAGTGCAGGTGTAAATTATTAAGAGCCATTTTCTGAGAAAATCGAGAATCGCAAGACACTCGTCAAAAAATCGAATTTTTTATTATTTTGCCAAAACATCCCTTTTAGTGACCTAATTTAAGCAAAAATAGTTTTGGGTTCAAACGATTCATTTTAAAGGAGAAATTAAAAAAAGTTTAAAAAATCGATTTTATTCCTGTTTTTCGAACAAAACACGGCAGGATGCAATGGCAACTTCGAGAGAAGGGTGAACGCGTAAGAAACATTCCCTGACACTGAAACTTCACCGAATTATTATTTTGTTCTTACTCTTGAAAACCTTAGAAGAAAAATTGAAAAACAATGTCTTATATTTTTATAATCGACAAGTCTAAAGAGGTCATATTTGTGACGTTAGACATGCTAGAAAACGAAGGCCAACTTTGACTATTAAAAAAGGCCTCTGGTATATGCCGCTTGATCATAAAATCAATATAAAATGGAACCTTGGCTTTTGTACTAACTTACTGGAAAGTTTTAGCTCTGGAAATCAAATATCATCCTGACACCAAAGCAAGCGGTGAGAGCAATTGAATTGGGAAATTTATGCAAATTAGACGGCTTGCGGACGGTTGTCAAACTAAAAGAAAGGTTTTACATGAAAGGATTACTCACCATTGCTTGTAACACGTTTTTACGGCAAGGAAAGTTATTTCCAACTTCTGTTGCGTCGGTTTGAGTCACAAAATCCATAATTTTAAGCCAAAAGGTCCAAAAGACAAACGCACGTTTGCTCAGCGACTGCGCCAGAATCCGGCCGTGAATCGAAATAAAGTCACAACACGTCACTGCGGTCCTTTAGAAGCAAGAGTTGCAAGAGTTTTTACTTCAGTCAGGAGGCCAAAAGATTGAAAATTCATCGCAAACTAATGACTTCGATTTTGAAAACCTTTCATCACTTCAATCGTTCGCCGGCTGATAATAAACATCACACAAGATCGTATGACCTTTGGCGTGTGACCGGAAATCGGTCACACCCTCAAGTCACGTTAGCATACTGTCACGAATTTTAATACGATTTTTCACGTTTGCTTTCGACAAAAAATAGACTCATCGAAATAAAATCAGGCCTGCTTTATTTATTTATTTATTTTTTAATTTCTTTTATAGCCTGCAGAACTTGTTCCCCATGCATCGCGCGTGTCTCGCGCCCCCAGTCCGCTTCGCAGTGCTAGCGTGAAAAGCGCAAAAAACTGAAATTGACTCCTGTTCTGCAGTTGATTTCTTTTATAGACACCTTCTAGGCATTGACAGGCTGTGAAAAAAGTGTATTTTTATTATTATTATTTTTTGAAGTGCTACATCATTTTCCTATAAATTTCAAACGTGACTGCTAAAAGACTGTTTGGAACCCATGGATGGAGAAAAGCTGTGCCGGAGAGAAGGTCAACCTCCCAGCCGAGCCAACTTTTGCGAGCGTTTATATGAGGAAAAAACTGACCACTTTGTCCGAGTCAACAGTGCTTGCGCATGCTGTCTTTGTCTAGCCTTGACCGTGTTGTCCCAACTACAATCGGCGACAAAATTGTTGAGACAAATAGGGTGACTTCGGAGAACAAACGAATCCGCACCCTCCCCTGTCCCCTCCATTCAAAGTTGGGGTGTTTGTTGTTTTCTATAGGTAGCTAGAACAAGGGCACAACATTGTACGGAGGGGATGGGGGAGGAAAGCTATATTTCCTCCTTTTGAAGTTCATAAAACGTAAAAAAGCCTACTTTTGGGCGAAGTGTCTCAACTCATTTTGTCGCCGATTGTAGCTGGGCGAGCCAAAGTGGAGAAATATTAGCCGGGCTGGAAGGGTGAGGCCACCACTACCGGCTCAGTGGAGGGCTGACTTCCGGAAGCCCTCAACTCCGCCCACTACTGGTAGTAAGGCGTCTATCCGAACCAACCTTTTGTTTCTCATGTAAATGGTTTACCAAGTTTTGTAAGGAAATGGAGGAAAAGTTGGCTCGCCCAGGGTAGCTTGGGAGGTGAGTAAACACCAGATAACCCCAATAATAAGCACAAACTTTGATTGTCAGTTAGATGTCTACTATTTTAAGTAAGCGACCTGCATGTGATTGTCGCATCCATGCCCCCTTCCAGATCCCCTTTATTATCGGTAAGCCTCTGATAGGTCAAAGTAATACAGTCGTACCTCCAGTAAGCGACCACCAAAAATGCAAAGACTTAGTGGTCCCTAACGGGAGGTGGTCGTTTAGAAGAATCGGACCACATGGGGTCTATTCCGAGAAGAGGTCCAGGCACATTCTATTAAATGGCGGTGTAACAAATTCCTGGCAAAATATTATCTTTTACCTCTTTTGACAAATACAGCTTTTAAATCATGCTCAATTTAAAGAGGGATTCAGGTGAGTGAGATATAGAATAGTCTAGAATCACAACATAATCTTCACTTTGTTGGCTACATCTACTAAGTTAGGATATGTGTAGTTCCACGATGTCGCTAAAGGTCTTCATATTTTCTAAGGAACATAGTGCACACAGCAAAAATAGAGAGCAGAGAATGCGTCAACTGGTCGCTTATGGAAAACAATTAACCGTGACGCCCAAAAAGTGGTCGCAGTCACTTACAGAAGGTGGTCGTTTACTGGAAGTTCCAACTGTAAGGCTTTGACTGGGAAAATTTGGTCTTTTGGATTGGCAGTCGCACATGGAGGTTGGACTGTGTAAGCCACCATCACCTCACTGTGAGTGACGAGAGCCAGGAAAGTATAGTATACACTCCCTTAGGATACACAGAATCGTTGTTTTGAGGTCCCGTTTAGCGAAATGGATCATTCAAGGGAGGTGTTGAAGTCCCATAGTGAAATTTATAAGGTTTATGGGTTTTTAGTGCAAGACGAAACACAATACTTAGGGCCCTGTTGTTCAAACGTTTAACAACAGGAAATCACTATCAAGCGAATAAGAAGAAGCAGGGTGAAAGCGTTAGTCCCGGGGGCGTTAGTCAACTTTTCGAACATACAGCCCCTCAGTCACTCTCCTCCGCAGACTTACCCTGGGCGACCAGGATAGGGGAATATAATACTCGACCTTCCTTGCATCATCGCGAGAGCCTATAGCCTTCACTTTCTTTTGGCTCGTCCTACAATCCTACCCAACGTTCGTGGGACAGGAAGGTCTGCTTGCGAGGCTTGGGAATCTAGGGAGACTATGGTAGCATGGTGCAAATAGCCGGGATGAGCTACTTTGTCCACACGAACCAAGAGGATTGGGTCTGCTAGAAGAAATCAGGTGTAGCTTTCTGTGATAAGTAATATTCCAACAGTATAGGATCATAGTTTGAAGCCATTTCACAATCACTAGTTTCCGCGCACCTCTACCGGCGAGTTGTGGACAAAAGCAGCTGATAGCTGTATGCGAACCTTTTTTCCACAAAATGGTTTCTGGGTTTTCGCATTCGACAGTGTCATGTATTGATTTTTTTTAATCTTAGTCGAGGTCTTTTTAATTATGTACTGTCTATCTGACTGACTGTTTCTTTGTGTTTTTTTTTTCTGGTAATAACAGGTTTCATAATTTGGTCGTGGTTGGGGTTATAGGCTCCTGATCGTGAGCAAATAGCGAAAAAATCAACAAGCAAAACCAAAAGTAAACTGTAGCGTTGAATCCGTTGGCCACGGAGAATTGGTATTATTCTGCAAGTTCTTTACTACAGCAAGAGAGTATACTCCCTTGACTATGGGACATTGGGCCGGGGGAACTTAGTATTTTGACCCGGCATAGGGGAGGAGGGGAGGGGGAGGGGGTACTCTGGCCAGATTCCAAGTCACGGGGATGATCGAAGTATGTTTTTTTCTTAGTTTGAAAATATTTTGAACAATTTTTTTTTTTTAGCTGTGGCTTTACTTAAGTATTCAAAATATTCGTTCTTTTTTGGTCTTAATTTTCGCTTCCACGGATCACTCACGACACTTGGAATCCGAGGTACCCCTCCTGTTTAGTACTTCGAAGGCAAAAAAGCTGTTTCAAAGCCTAGTAGGTAAATAAAAGAAAAATAAATATGCATGGCTGTTTCTACTGCGATGAGAGGATTTCTTGTCAAAAAATGTGAAAACTGTATTAAAATTGCTGACAACAGCTACGAAAATTTCGTGACAGCATGATGACGTGACTAAAGCGTGTGACCAATTTCCGGTCACACCAAAGGTCATACGATCTTATGCGATGTTTATTATCAGCCGACGAACGATTGAAGTGATGAAAGGTTTTCAAAATCGAAGTCATTAGTTTGCGATGAATTTTTATTCCTTTTGCCTCCTGACTGAAGTAAAAACTCTTGTAACTCTTGCTTCGACGTGTTGTGACTTTATTTCGATTCACGGCCGGATTCGGACGCAGTTGCTGAGCAAACGTACGTTTGTCTTTTGGCTAAAAATTATATATTTTGTGACTCAAAACGACGCAAAAGAAGTTGGAAATAACTTTCCTTGCCGTAAAAACGTGTTACAAGCAATGGTGAGTAATCCTTTCATGTAAAACCTTTCTTTTAGTTTGACAACCGTCCGCAAGCCGTCTAATTTGCATAAATTTCCCAATTCAATTGCTCTCACCGCTTGCTTTGGTGTCAGGATGATATTTGATTTCCAGAGCTAAAACTTTCCAGTAAGTTAGTACAAAAGCCAAGGTTCCATTTTATATTGATTTTATGATCAAGCGGCATATACCAGAGGCCTTTTTTAATAGTCAAAGTTGGCCTTCATTTTCTAGCACGTCTAACGTCACAAATATGACCTCTTTACACTTGTCGATTATAAAAATGTAAAGCATTGTTTATCAAATTTTCTTTTAGGATTTTCAAGAGTAAGAACAAAATAATAATTCGGTGAAGTTTCAATGTCAGGGAATGTTTCTTACGCGTTCACCCTTCTCTCGAAGTTGCCATTGCATCCTGCCGTGTTTTGTGCGAAAAACGAGCATAAAATCGATTTTTCAAACTTTTCCTAATTTCTCCTTTAAAATGAATCGTTTGAACCCAAAACTATTTTTCCTTAAATAAGGTCACTAAAAGGGATGTTTTGGCAAAATAATAAAAAATTCGATTTTTTGACGAGTGTCGTGCGATTCTCGATTTTCTCAGATAATGGCTCTTAATACTTAAACATAATGATAATTATTATTATTCCTTTGTTTAACCTGGGCAATGTTTTTAACATAAAAGCTAGTTTGCTAGGAAATCGGTCAAAATCAAAACATATTTTCGAACAACTTTCCGAAGGCAAACTAATTAAGCGTAGCCGAGGATTTAAGCTTGTTGAACTCCGGACTAATGTAAAACAAATCCAGCTGGTGATCTGAGGAACTTGATCGCGTGGCCTTCTTATAATAAGCTAGTCGAGCGCTCCAAATGCTCGGCCACAATGCATCCTGTTAGATTTTACGTACTTAAATTTCCAAAGATAAGGTTTATATTTTAAGAACAATATTTCATTAATATTTATTGCTCCTGTTAAGTTGAAGACTATGGGAAATTCTTCTTCCAAGTAAAATCAGAATTTGTTAATATATTTGTTTTGTATATTTTTGTCTATATTTACAGTTAAGTGCAAAGCGTAATTTTCTACTTCTTTGTTCCACCTCACAGCCTCTTTTTCTGTATAACAGCCTTCACTTATCTCTGTTTTGGTTACTTATACATTGTAGTTTGCCGAGGGGATGTTGTAACGAAAATGCAAGATTCAAATCTCCTCTTCCGTCCGTTTCTCATGATTTTGCAGTATAAAGTGGCGAGAGCATATTTGGCGTCGAGATTTCGTGAAGTGAAATATCTATCAATATCTACTGAAAAAATTCGGCCTTGAACGATATACTCCAAGCAAATAAAGGAAAGGTGTTGGGAATTCTTTTCAAATGTTTTTGGCGGTAGAAATTGTACTGCCTATTGTGAGAGTCTTGGGGTTGTTCCGTAGTTAACTTAAAACCGTGAATTAACGCGAAAAAAAAAAGAAATATCCTATAATAGTTTCTGCAACACCAAGAGACACTGGAAATATCCGCGAACTGCGTGTTGGCTTTTCCGTTTCATTTTTACTTTCACAGTAATGGCCGAGAGAACTGGGCAAATGTAATACTATGACAACAAGGTGCTCTGATGACGAGCCTTTCAAAATCTACACTGTGATTAGATAAATATAAGGATCGGCAGATTTCCAGGCAAGAAATATTAAATCCAGCTTATAGAAAACCTTAAGCGAGTCGTTCACTCACCGCTCCTAGCACCAGTCTACATTTGTATAGAGCCGAATTGTATATGATGATCACCGTAGACGACATCATCACAGACTGGCAGTAGAGCCCGACGATTGGGTCAACTCGATGTTCTGCAATATGTCAAAGAAACATTCGTTAGATTGAAGGAAGAAGGCCAGGCTGTGTCTAGAAGCCAAGGATTTGAATAAGAACATTCGGTGCGAGCATGACCAGCAGTAGTATTAAGGAAATCCTTCCCCTACTTTATAGAAAAGAGACGACAATCAGCTACTGGCTCGTAGAGTATGACTCGGTGAATCCAGCATGCTGTGTACTCTCAATGCACCGTTTGATCGATACAGATTCAAAAGTTTATAGTTCGGCATAGTGTGTCTCAAGACATCTTCCAACGAAAATTGGATAAAATTTACTGGAACATAGCTAATGTTACAGGTATCGCCGTTGACATCATATCATCATCGTCGCTTCTGAAGAGCACGAAGAAGCCTTTCAAACATGTTTAAAAATACCATCCGAGTCAACATCTTCACACCCTCAACTCCGAGGACTATGAACTCTGGCGGAAATAGCAGAGTGTCGACATCTACAGCGATATGTCCTGTCTTACAGCCGACAAGTTGGGAGCAGTCAAAAACATATCTTTATTGCTTTGTTGAATTTGCCACGGTGACTCAACACGGTGAAAGGAGGTGAAACAGGACTGACGTCCCCATTGATATCAACCCCTTCATTACCATTCCACCCTATGAAAGGTTGTCGGGGTTTGAACCATCGACTTCCCGCTCAGCAGACTAGGTGCTTATTCAGTTGAGCTAACCGGGTGGCGTTTTATCTACTCCGACCAGTACTGAGCAACTCTTATCCATCCTTTGCGGCTCACCTACATATAAACATTTTCTCTGTCACAATAGTGGAGCACACTTATTCTATTTTGTTCGACACTCCAGATCGGAAGGCGGAGCATAGTATCATCAGGTGGTATTGGACGAGATTAGCCTAGAGCGTTCGTCTCATCTCACTATGATCCTGCTTAATCAAAGACTAGTACAATCTTGATTTGCAGTATGGTGCCAGCCAGGAAGGGCTAGTGACCTGGGTACGACAAGTCGTTGCCGGTGAAAGAGAAAGAATTGTAGGATGATGGCATTAAGATCACTCACAGACGTCAAGTTAATGTCTAACAGTAATGCATGACATAAATGCAGAGAAGATCATCACAGTTAAATAGGCAAGTTATGCAAATGCGAAAAGGAAGCCCCCCAAAAATTCAGGCTTGGTGGGATTTGAACGTTGACCTCTGCAATACTGGTGTAGCGCTCTAACGAAGCCTACTGTGAGCTAGTCATCAATTAGTAATGTAGGAGCTTGGCAAGTTTAACTCCTACCTTCTACTTTCTAGGAAGGATAAATTTACACCTTAATAACTCTTGAACAGATTTTCCTGTCGAACATTGCCGAATCTTGTGCACGACTGCTGCCGAGATACATGATATGCAACATTGAACTACCGGTGCGGAGAAAACATCCCTGCTAAGCGTATGTCTAAAGAAAGAGGAACATAGTGTTAGGAGTGAGAATAGTACATGGTTCAGACTTGATCTCAGCATCCGCTTCCTCTCCTATGAGCAAGTTTTTTTTTTTCGGTGTGACTTTTGCCAACATAGCGACGTTTTCGGACTTGTTGTAAGCGCCACATCAATCAGTCATCGATGTATCAGTGGTCCTTGTAACAAGCTGAGAGAGAAAAGAACAAGAACAGCCCGGCAAAACCTCTGCATTTAGGTCGCGAGTTATTAAAACTTTCATTCCTAGAATAAACGAGTCCATAAAAGAGGCAGTGAAGTCATCCAGGGATCTATACACGGAACATAGTCTATTCCTTAACTGCAGCGCATGGTGGAAAATATTCGATTTTCTGGATTGGACTTTGAGTCAGAGTTGTTGGGAATTAGTGTCTGTAACTGTAGAAAAATTATCGACGATCGATGCTTTAAATGAATTCCTAATGTAAACAAAAAATCTAGATTTATGAGGGCCTCTATCCTGCCTAAAAATGTCAAACCATGCGTCAAACCACTGCTCAAGAAGCAATCTTTGTGCTCTGATGATTTCAAGAATTTTAGGCCAATTTCGAACTTGAGTTTTCTGTTTAAAGTGGTCGAGAAATTAAATGTGTTGCCAAGCGGCTCACTGATTATTTAGATGCCAATGGTGTCAATGTCTCTTGTCAGTCAGCGTACAGGAAACTTCACCGCACTGAGATGGCCTTAATCCGTGTCCTTAATGATATCGCAATCGCCTTAGATCAGAAAAGGTCAGTGATTTTGCGGCTCCTTGATCTTTCCGCGGCATTTGATACTGTGCATTTTACTTTCACGCCTTTGTCGTCGATTTGGAATTGGTGGTACGGCATTGGAATGGTTTCGATCGTATTTCGGTGATCGCACTCAGTTTGTAAATATCAATGGATCTACCTCCAAGCGTCGTGTTTTGCAGTTTGCTGTACCCCAAGGGTCGGTTCTTAGGCCTCTTTTATACTCATTGTACACCTGTCCATTAAGTGATATCGCCAGTGAGCATGAACTAAGTTTTCACTTTTATGCGAATTACACGCAACTTGATGTAACATTCGCGACGTCATCCCTTAATGATATGGAATTGCTAGTGTAGGTTGGAAGCCTGTGTACGAGAAATTGACACTGGATGCTTCTGAATAAGCTAAAATTAAATAAAGACAAATTGAACTTCTTCTGATATCATCTTTACACCTGCCGTGCTCGACCCCCTTTGTCACATATTCATGTTTGTGATGAGAGAGTGCTGGCTTCACCAAGAGCGGGTAACATTGGAGTTCTCTTTGACGAATCTTTGAGTATGGTTCCTTAGGCCGGTGACAGCAATGTGCAAATCGGCATTCTATCATCTCCGTAAAATTAGGCTCATTCGTGAACATCTCACCTTTGATGCAGCCCGGCCCAGCTTCTTGTTCAAGCTCTTGTTACATCAACGCTTGACTATTGTAATTCTTTACTATATAGTTTACCTAAGAACGTGATTAAACAGCTCCAACGTGTGCAGAATGCAGCTGCTCGTGTTGTTACTCTTTCGCCAAAGTTCTGTGATATTTCACTTGTTCTTATGAATCTCCACTGGCTCCCGATTGATCTTCGGATTAAATTTAAAATACTTTCTGTTACTTACAAGACCTCTCCATGGACTTGCTCCTGCTATTTAAGATCTTCTTCAAAGTTACCACCCAGCACGGGATCTTA